TCTGCCCAGATTTCCATGGATAGTTGACAGTGATCAATACACTTGAAGATGTCATTAGGAATTGCCATAATCAATAAACGTTTACATTTGTTYCCCAAATCAACGATAATCTTGTCCTCGTCGCTCCAGTTTGCTTCAGGTATTTCAGGTATTTCAGGGTGTGGTTCCAGTTCCTGGAACTCTAGGAATTAAATTGATTGGGACGTAGGGAGGGTTGTAAAGAAACTCACAGATTCTAGGATGAATCCCTTCGAGGAAGTTCACCATTCRAACTTTCCATTGAGGGTATTCTTCACGAATGAGTGTGGGAGGTTTAGACTGTGAACCAGTACTCATGAAGGATGTATTGGCTATATTTGCCATTGAAGGATGTAGATCGAAAGAAAAGTGAGGAAGATTGATAAGACAGTGAAAACAGGGTAACCTGGTGAAGAAGACGACTGTGTTCATGAGCGAATGAGGGTGAATACCAAGAACAGAATAAATCAAATTAAAATTTGATTCCAGGCTTTCATACCAATTGTTGGATCGATTAACTCAGTTTCTTGGTATAGATTACTTGCTTTGATGATAAGTTTGACAGTGATAACGCAGCGGAAGTAATAACAATCAAGCACAGTAGAAATCAATAAGAACACGATTAAGATGACTGAAGAACACCAGAGAGAGCTTCAAAATGATTTTCAATTTTAATGAAAATGTTGACAATTACAATACTGAAGCACACAGAAATACAAGGGCCTACGCTGCTATTTATACAAGTAAATAACCGTTTTCTGACATGACCTAAAGCAAATTAATCTAAGCCGTTAGATCATAAACAGGTTACAGACAGGAACACGTGATAAGCACGAGCAGCTAGTAAACCTAAGAAAAACAGCTTAAAGAAGATCTATACAGAAGACATGCTGCAGAACCTCTGTGAGACACGACAGAGGTTCTGTCGTCTTTGACTAGTAGCAATATTTATGCAGAGGACCAGTTTACAGAACCTCTGTGAGACACGACAGAGGTTCTGTCACCTGAGACTTGAACGCTTGAGCATCTTCTGCTGTTGGTCCTCTGTGGTCTTCTGTGACAGATCATCTTCTGTCAATACTCGCAGTTTACTTTTTCTATACTTTTACATTAAGGAAATGAGAGCTAACAAGTATTTTAATTCCTAAAATTTACATTCAGTATTTATTTTCTGCATTTGTTTTAAAGTTTAATAACTTGCGCAACAAGTTTCCTTTTTAGACTTTAATACTTGCAGTTTCCACTTTGCATTTTCTATCTCCGTTATTTATTTTACAATGCCCATGTCTTTTATAATGAGAAACCAAATAATGATGGACTAAAAGTCTTACCTTGGAGTGTAATGGGAAATTAAGACCGAAATTTATGTGAAATTAGAAAAATATTTTAAATATAGTGTTTTATCCGTGTGATTCATCTCAGGTTATTAATGTTTTAGTAAATATTATATCTAATTAATTGACAACTAATTTTATATATAAAATGTATTGACTTTTAAAGTCAAAATAAATTTGAAAACCTGAGTTAATATGAGAAGGCTACATATAACTTTAGTATCTGACAAATACTATACTCATATGGTGTAAGATTGTAACACTATGTCGTACTAGGATTCTCGACATTTAACATAAATGATGTCGTATCGATAGTACGCCGGCCTGTGTGTACTATTGAGTGGCTGTCTAACCCGATAATTGTATATATATGACAGTACAGTTGTACAAATTCATAGTATTATTGGGCTGTCCGAAAATACTATAACATTTTTTTAATATATTTTTCTTTGTGCTAACAGACCTTTGCACCCTTAGCTTCTTTTTACAACTTACATTTTCTTTTTTGATAATTAACTCACCCAAGCTTTAGATAAATCAAATACCTCGAGTTCGCCATCTGAAGTTAGTTTTAAAAGATTTGGCTTTTTAAGAAAGTTTTGTGCTTAGTCTTCTCTGTAGGAATGATATCTGGTACATATTACCCTTTATTATTTGTTACAAAACGATAGTAGTTCAAGGTGTATACTTATACTAAGTTCTATTTTTGTGTTGAAATCTAAGGTTGCATAAATCTTGAACAAGGTTTTGGCGCCGCTGCTAGGGAAGCACAAAGCACACCAAAAAATTTCTTTTTAGAGTAAAGTTTGTAAAAGCTAATTTTTCTACCACCACTTTGATAAAGAAAAAAAATAGTTTATGCCAAGATTGTTGCTTGGTAAACTTTTCCAATTTGATATAGATACCGAACACACTTTCAGACAAAGAAAAAGAGTGCAAAGGGCTTCACGAGCTTTAACCTCTTCCAAAATGTTTGAACACGATTACATGACGAATGAGGAGGAAAAACCCGAATATAATCCTAACAATTTAATAAATAATGATATTAATCATCACCAAGAAATAATCAATTTGAAGAGGAGGAACAAAATATCTTCTGACTCGCAAACTTTAAAAATGGTGGCATCATGGCTTATACTATTCCCAATTTGACTCAGTTACATACAAGAATACTTAAACCCACTATTGGTGCTACCTACTTTTCGCTTAAGCTGTTGATGTTTCAGATGTTACAAACTAACGACCAGTACACTGGTTTGCCATCTGAAGATTCTCATTCTCATATGCGATCTTTCATGGAAATTACAGATTCTTTTTTCAACCCTAATGTTTCAGATGATGCTCTAAAACTAAAACTTTTTCCATGTTCATTAAGGGATCATGCCAGAGCATAATATAACTCTTTTCAACCAGACTCTGTGATAACATGGAACCAAATGGCAAAAAAAAAATTGAAAAAAAATATTTTCCACCCAAGAGGAATGCCAAGTCTAGAAATGAAATATGTATTTCTAGACAACTGGATGATGAAGTAGTTTCTAATGTTTGGGATAGGTATAAGGAGCTGCTGAGAAAATGCCCTCACCATGGCATTCTGTACTATATAAAGCTAGAGATGTTTTACAATGGTTTAAACATTGTTGCTAGACAAATGCTTGATGCTACTACAGGCGGAGCTTTTACAAGTTGTACCTACAATGAAGGAATTAACATACTTGAGAAACTTTCTAACAATAATGGACAATGCCCTGATCCACTACACTACTTCGAAGAAAATAGTTGGGGTACATAAGGTAGATGTTGTTTCAGTATTAACGACTCAGATCAGTAAGCTGATTTCAAATATGACATCTAGCCCACATGTGCAGTCTGATGCTAACACCTTTACTCCTAATGTTCAATCTGTGCAATGTGTGTACTGTGGTTAGGGGCACTCTTTTGAGCATTGTCCTGAAATGAGGAACAAGTAAATTTTGTCAACAAGACTGAACCATTTTCACAAACTTATAATCCTGGATGGCGCAATCATCCAAAATTTTCATGGCATAGTCCATCTCTTAACCCACCAATGCCAAAACCCCAAGGACAATCCAATTTTCACCAACAAGGATCCAATTTTCACTCACAATCACACCAAGGCACTCATAGTAACTAGCAAGCTAATTTTCAAACTTAAAATCCTCAACCTTCTTTCCAGAACAAGCCCAAACAGCATGCCGAATCATCTACTTCCTTGGAAGCAATGATGAAAGGGTTTATGACCCATACATAGGCATCAATTAAAAATCTGGAAACTTAGATGGGACAAATGGCTTTGGAAATGAGAAAAAGACCAGTACGATATCTACCTAGTGATACATAGACACTGCGAAGAGAAGGTAAAGATCCTGGTAAAGTTGTAGCCCTGAGGAGTGGAAAGAATTTAGTAGAAAATAGACAAAAAGAGTTAGAAAAGACAACCAAAGCAAATCCTGAAAAGAATACCACAATATCAACTTCTACTCCAACTTAGTCATGTAGCACCATTGGGCCTAAATTGAAAGATAAGCCTATTAATATTACAACCATTCCAAAATAGATCATACTTCCCACTTTTGTTCCTTAATGAACCTAAGGAAGTCCAACAGCCAAAATAAAGTATTGTATTGGATGTGTCACAATCTGGTGGCAGTCCTATAATACCCTGTCAGACTAATCCTATAGTGCCAAGTCAGATCATTCATGTAGTACCATGTAGGATCAAACCGAAAATCATTGTAGAACCTGTTTTGAAGACCCCTCTAGCACCTACACCTCAAAAGATTACATCTCCTACTTCAGTCCCTCCTTATATTCCTTATCCACAAAGATTAAGTATCAATGGGAAGAATCACAATTTAAAAAGTTTTAGATGTTTTTGAAGAGTTACATATAAACATACCTTTGGTGGGATCCAGTGATCAAATGCCAAGCTATGCAAGTTTCTAAAAGAAATTTTAATCAAAAAGAAAAAGTTGATTGAGTATAAGACTGTAGCTTTGACTGAAGAGTGTAGTGCTATATTATTAAGTAAACTCCCTTCTAAGCTTAAAGATCCTGATAGTTTTACTATCCCATGTTCCATAGGAGGAAAAGAAATAGGAAAGGCCTTATGTGACTTAGGTGCTAGGATAAACCTTATGCCTTTATATGGTTTTAACATCTTAGGTATAGGTGAAGCTAGGCCTACAACTGTTACTTTGCAATTAGCTGATAAGTCCATAGCCTATCCAAAAGGAAAAATTGAGGATGTCCTAATTCAGGTTAATAAGTTTATTTTTCCTGCTGACTTTATCATGTTGGACTTTGAAGCTGATTGTGACACTCCCATCATTTTAGGAAGACCTTTCCTAGACAATACAAGAACCTTGATAGATGTGAAGGGAGAATTGATTGTGAGAGTCCAATACCAGATGGTGACTTTTAATGTGTTTAATTCCCTTAGGTACCCAAAAGAAAAGGAGGAGAATGTTCTGCTTTAAGTTTGGTAGAATCTTTGTGTCAAGAGAAAAGTTTGGGGGAAATTTTGGGGATAGTTGAGTCTGATAGTGATAAAGAAGAAGAAGATTAGGAGGATTTAAAAGCACCTCAAGAATTTGCTACTTTTGAAGTCTTAGAAACTGAGGATAAGAAAACCCTAGTTCCTTCCCTAGACCTAGAATTGAAACAACTTCCCTTACATCTAAAACCTTTCTAGGAGACTCATGGAAGTTGCCAGTCATTATTTCATCATCACTAGAAGCTGATCAAGAAGAGAGGTTGGTCAAAATGTTAAAACTTCACACTAAAGCCATAGGATGGACGGTTGCTGATTTCAAGGGAATAAGCCCTACCATTTGTCAACATAAATTCTTTTTAGAAGACAAAGATTTCAACTCCATTGAGCCTTAAAGAAGACTCAATCCTATGATGAAGGAGGTTGTCAAAAAGGAAATTTGAAAATGGTTAGATGCTGGCATAATCCATCTTATTGCTAGTAGTTCTTGTGTCAGTCTTGTCCAATGTGTGCCCAAAAGAGAGGAGTTAATGTGGTACCAAATGAAAAAAATGAGCTTATACCTACTAAAATTGTGTCAGGTTGAGGATTTGTATGGACTATAGAAGTCTTAACAAAGACACTAAGAAAGACCATTTTCTTTTACCTTTCATTAACCAGATGTTAGACAGACTAGCATGGTAAGAGTTCTTTTGTTTCTTAGATGGTTACTCAGGTTATAACCAAATTGCCTTAGCACTGGATGACTAAGAAAAGACCATTTTCACATGTTCTTATGAAACTTTTGCCTTTAAAAGAATGTCTTTTGGACTTCATAACTGACTTGGTTTTAAACTGGGAAAAATGCCACTTTATGGTTAAAGAGGGTATTGTATTAGGACATTTAATTTCTAAGAGGGGCATTGAGGTTGATAAAGCAAAGCTGGAAGTAATTGAAAAATGACCTGAACCAACAACTATTAAAAAATCAGAAGTTTTCTAGGCTATGTAGATATAGGAGGTTTATTGAAGATTTTTCAAAAATTTCAAAACCTCTTTGTTTACTACTACAACATGACCAAATATTCAATTTTAATGAAGATTATAAAAAAGCTTTTAAAATCCTAAAAGAAGCACTAGTCACTACCCCTGTAGTAGTAACACTAGACAGGTCCAAACCTTTTGAAATAATGTGTGATGCTAGTGATTCGGCAATAGAGATTGTTTTAGGCCAAAAGAGAGAAAAGATACTTCACCGTATCTATTATGCAAACAAAACTCTCAATGAAGCTCAAATCAATTACACTACTACTAAAAAGGAATTATTAGTTGTAGTTTTTGCTTTTGAAAAATTCAAATCGTACTTGATGGAAACAAAAGTGATTGCTCATACTGATCATCCTGCCATCAAGTATCTCATTTCTAAAAAATATGCAAAACCTAGGTTAATAAGGTGGGTCCTATTACTACAAGAGTTTGAATTGGAAATCATTGATAGAAAAGGTGTGGATAATCAGGTAGCTGACCATTTGTCCAGGGTAGAAAAAAAGATAAAAAAATGTGCAAAGTAATGACATATGTGAAGTATTCCCGGATGAAAGAATTTTGGTCCTACAATATGCTGCAGTATCGTGGTTTGTAGATCATGTTAACCACCTGCTTATGGGATTATTCCCAAGAAATTCAATAAACACCAAAGGAAGAAATGCATCTCTGATTGAGGGAAATATTTTTGAGATGATTCTTTCTTGTTTAAAAATTGTGTTGATCCCAGATCTCTCAATAACACTAATAATCTAGTTATGAATAACCAAATTATAGCGATTTAATGAAGAAAGCTATGAAGTCTCAAGAATAAAATAAGAAAGATTAAGAACAATTTTGAGCTTCAAAGGTTTTACTTTATAGATTCATAAACGTAAAACAAAGAGTAAAAGCCTTATTTTTACAATAGACCTAATCATCTATTTATACTAATCGGCTATTTAGAAGATAACTATCTATTGCTACTTTCTAGCAAATCTTCTAATAAACAKATAAGGTTTRKCTTTTATATGGATAAGCATTATTATCAAGATAAACTCTAATTCCAGCTGTTGACTTGTCATCTCCTGCTGTCATTAACGATGTGATGAATTCATCCTTATCTTTGAATCTTCATGGCCTGCTTGAATGAACTGATTGAAAATCTTCTAAGTGATGTTTGTCCAGAGTATCAATGAGAATGCTTCTTTCCATCGCATCATCCATTGATCCTCTGGTTGAACTCTTCCATCGGTCCAATGGTTGAACTTTGTCCATCGATCCTCTGGTTAGTCTGTCCATCGATCCAATGGTCGAATTCCAGACCTAGTCGTTTTTGCCTTGATGTCTTCATTGGTCTTCTGGTTCTTCATCACTTGTTGTTTTTCATTACTTTTTACATTTTGTATTGTGGGGTTTAACAAATTATGAATGAGATGGCTTCCCTCTTCCCTTGGCACGTGGTTTCTGCCCAGTCTTTCTCTAATGTTTTTCTGAAACCATTCAAGTGTATCTGTTGAGTACTTGAAGGCTTCAGTCAATCTAAAGAACTTTTTAACCCCAAACTCATTCTTGTAAACAAGTCCGAGTTCAGGTTGAGTAAGAACTGTAGCAGAACGTATCTCCTGCAGGCCCTGGAAATCTTCATTTGGAGGAGCGCATGATAACCTCTCGATGCCTAGTCTAAAAGCAATTTTAAAATCGCTTTTGGCTCGATGCTTCACCAGGGACTCCATTGTCTTGACAATAGCTGTGTTCGCCATTCCAAATCGTATCCCATGATCTTGCCTTTGAGAGGTGTAGGCATATAACTCTATCAAGTCATATGGATTGAGGTTGATGAGGTCGTCCTCGTTGAATACGCTAACTACCCCATGGGCTCTTTCCATGCTGAACTCGATGTAGCGTATGGCTCTGTTGGCAAATGACTTTATTGTTAAGTCTATGACTCTTCTTATACCATCGTTCGAAAAGACAGCTTGAGGATCTTGAGTAGTTTGTCTTATGAAACGATGATGTAGAAGGTTCATAGACTCTGGCGATAGAATTGGAAGATTGGTTGACAGGCTTTCTTCTC